AAAAAGATAAAACTATTACCATAAATATATTGCACAACATTTCTTGAAATGCAATGAAAATATAAAGTTGATGACAATTTGTATAATAAATGTAATTCCCTCCACTCTGTACTAGTACTAGATTTTTTCATAAAAATTATTTTATATTACCGAGTAATTCCAAAAAACAAAACAGTTAACAATCTCAACCAGCAATTACAAACTTTTCAGTCAATCAAGAAATGTACACTGAAATAAAATAAAAGTGTACTGCCTTGGAATAAAATGATGTACATAGTGAGTGATACACAGTATCCAGACAATTTAAAAAATAAATGTATAAAAAGTACAATTACAAAAATACTGGTATGCATATTGTGTTTCTAAAAATAAGCACAGAACCCTCAATTCAATTTCATTGATTTTTAATATGAGAGAGATTCTTCATTTCGTCATGGGTCAGAAGGTTCAATTTGTGATAAAGAAATACAAAATAAAATATTGTCAATGCAGTCTTCTGTGTGATATTCATAGGATTTGAGTATTGGACCTGTAATACAAAAAAGAATTTGTTTCAAATGTTTCATTAAAATATTAATTAAAATATTCCAAATACTGTAAAATACTTTATTTTCACTTGTAATTAATGTTTGCTATTTTCGCTGAAGGGATAATTCAGTGAAAAAAAATTCTAGCGAATATAACTATTTTCCTATATTTCAAACTCACTCATCAAAAGTCAGTGAAAATAATTTCTTCACAAAATACCCAAAAAGCCCTTTCAGCGAAAATTAATTTCAGCTGAAATAAAGAATTTTACAGTAGATATAAAAAAAAACTACCATTTACTGTATATGCACTATTAGATGCTTATTCCCAATAGAAGTGCATATAAACCCAACATTGCATTGGCTGTGTATTAAAATTTACTTTCTTTTGCAATAGAAAAAAATTCTGTATTTTTTATGAGCAAATTCATTACTTAATGGAGCAAATATGCTAAAACAGTAAAATTTGAAGGTACATACAGTACAGTTCTCGCGGAAGCTTTGGCTTTTGTGGCATCATTGTCGCCTACGCATGGCTTCATTGTCGCCTCAGCATCGCATCATTGTGGCATCAGCT